CCGTTCCGGAGACTTCGCCGACACTGCGTTGGACGGGAAAGTTGGCGATGCGTCGCGTTTTCGGGTCTGGGGATCCCGAGCTTTTGTTCGCGATACGTTCGCGGACAAGCTCTCCTCCCGCGCTGTTCCCTGTGTCTTCCTTGGCTTTGTCCCGGACGCGTCTGGTTGGCAGTTTTACCACGCCACCTCGCGCCGTGTCCTGCCCTCTCAGGACGTCACTTTTGACGAGTCGGTGCCCTACTACCGCCTCTTCCCCTACCGCACTGCCCCGCTCCCCCCCCCGCCTCTCTTCCTCGCGCCAGGTGCTGCTGTGGTAGACCCCCTCCCCCCTCAGGATGCCGCTCCCTCAGGTGTGTCCCAGGTAGACCCGGTTGAGCCTGTCGAGGTAGCTGTCGACTCTCGTCCTGCCAGGGGTGCTGAGCCTGAGCGTGCGGAGCCTGGGGTTGCGGAGTCTGGGGGTGCTGAGCCTGGGGGTGCGGGGTCTGGGGGTGCGGAGCCTGCTTTTGCTGAGTCTGGGGGTGCTGAGCCTGGGGGTGCGGAGCCTGCGGGTGCTGAGTCTGGAGGTGCTGAGCCTGGGGGTGCTGAGCCTGGGAGTGCTACGTCTGAGAGTACTGAGCCTGAGCGTGCTGCCTCTGGGGGAGGCCTCTCCTCGCAGCAGCTGCGTGAGTGGTACTTACAGTACTGCAGCCTCAGGAGAGGTGCTTCTGGAGCTCGGAGTGGTGCCGGAGCTGGTGCTAGTGCTTCCCCTCCTAGGCGGGAGCTGCCCTCTCCCCAGCAGCTCCGAGAGTGGTACGCTAGGCGCTGCAGTCTCCGGAGTGGCGCTCCCGGTGTCGTGGACTCTGGAGCTTCTGGAGTTACTGGAGGTGCTGCTGCTGCTGGCGGTGCGGCTGGCGCTGCTAGAGGTGCTACTGGTGCTGCTGGAGCTGCTGGAGGTACTGCTGCTGCTGGAGGTGCTGCTGGCGCTGCTGGAGGTACTACTGGTTCTGGTGCTGCTGGAGCTGCTGGAGGTGCTGCTGCTGCTGGCGGTGCGGCTGGCGCTGCTGGAGGTGCTGCTGGTGCTGCTGGCGCTGCTGGAGGTGCTACTGGTGCTGGAGCTACTGGAGCTGCTGGTGGTACGGCTGCTGCTGGCGGTGCTGCTGGCGCTGCTGGAGGTGCTGCTGGTACTGGTTCTGCTGGAGCTGCTGGAGGTGCTGCTGCTGCTGGTGGTGCTGCTGGCACTGCTGGAGGTGCTGCTGGTACTGGAGCTGCTGGGGACCCTGCTGCTGCTGGCGGTGCTGCTGGAGCTGCTGGGACTGGCCCTGCTGAGGGGGTTGGAGCTAGAGGTGCTGAGCGGCCACGGCCGTACTACGTTCCGCTCCTTCAGCAGGTTCTTGGCCTTCCGCCCTCTCCTGGTCCTACTCCTCCCCTACTGAGTCCACCGCTTGTCCAGTCACAGTCACAGTTACAGCCAGTCTCTCCACTTCCTGGTCCTTCTCTCTACACTGCGCCGACGGGAGGTCTTACGGAGCGTCGTGAGCCTGAGTCTCGTCCTCCGTCGCCTGAGACTCGTCCAGAGTCGTCTGAGTTGCGTCCAGAGTCGCCTGTCCGCGCTGTCCGCGCTGGTCGTCGTGTTCCACGTCAGCGTCCTCCTCCTGTCCTTGGCACTCACTATATGACCCTGCGTCCCTCTACTGCTCCACAGCGTGTCCCACTGCCGTCTCCACCAGCGTCCTCTCTTCCTGCTCTTGCTGACCCGGAGTCTGACTCTCTTCGTGCTGCCAGTCCTACTGTCACGCGTCTCCTTGCCACTGCTGTCACTGACCCTTCCTTTGAGTCCTCTGCTGCGTCTGCTCTAGTCGCTGAGCTTGTTGACTTTGCTGCTGCCTGTCGTCTAGACTACGCCGCTAGCCTTGTTGCTCAGTCTGAGTCTGAGTCTGTCTGTCCTCCGTCTGTCGGGGGTGAGTGTGCTCTTGGCACGGACGTCCTTGAGGACAGACAGGAGGAGTTTGAGTGCTTTGCCGCTGCTTTGCCTCATCTCGTGTCCATGCTAGTTGCCCCTGAGGGAGACCCGGATGCACCAGACATCCCGACCCCACGCTCCTACGCAGAGGCGATGGAGGGTCCCTACTCCTCTCAGTGGCAGACAGCCATGGACGCAGAGATGGCTTCCTGGAAGTCCACAGGCACCTACGTCGACGAGGTTCCCCCACCTGGGGCGAACATCGTCAGTGGCATGTGGATTTTCAGGGTGAAGCGGCCGCCGGGTTCTCCGCCTGTCTTCAAGGCGCGTTACGTTGCACGAGGCTTCAGTCAGCGAGAGGGAGTTGACTTCTTCCAGACCTTCTCCCCGACCCCGAAGATGACCACTCTTCGGGTTCTGCTGCACGTCGCTGCTCAGCGTGACTACGAGCTCCACTCTCTTGACTTCAGCACTGCGTTCTTACAGGGCAGCCTGCACGAGGAGATCTGGCTGCGCCGCCCACCTGGCTTCACTGGGTCGTTCCCTCCTGGTACCCAGTGGAGCCTCCGGCGGCCAGTCTACGGTCTCCGCCAGGCACCCCGTGAGTGGCACGACACACTGAGGACTACTCTTGCTGCTCTTGGGTTTGCTCCTTCTACTGCTGACCCGTCGCTGTTTCTACGCACCGACACCACTCTGCCGCCGTTCTACGTTCTTGTTTACGTAGACGACTTGGTCTTTGCTACTGCTGACACTGAGGCACTCGCCCACGTGAAGTCGGAGCTGCAGAAGAGACACACGTGCACAGACCTGGGTGAGCTGACAAGCTATCTTGGCTTGCGGATCACCCGGGACAGAGCACAGCGCACCATCACCTTGACTCAGTCACACATGGTGCAGCAGGTCCTTCAGCGCTTCCGCTTCACGTACTCCTCGCCTCAGCCCACTCCTCTGCCTACCGGTCACTCGCTCTCAGCTCTGCCTTCGGATGAGTCCGTAGAGCCGAGTGGCCCGTATCCAGAGCTTGTGGGCTGCCTCATGTACCTGATGACCTGCACTCGACCTGACCTGGCATACCCTCTTAGCATCCTAGCACGCTATGTCGCTCCCGGCCGTCACCGGAAGGAGCACATGGATGCCGCTAAGAGGGTGTTGCGCTACTTGTGCAGTACGTCGGGCATGGGGCTCGTGCTTGGAGGTCGGAGCGACGTTGTCCTCACGGGTCACTCAGACGCTTCTTGGGCTGACGACCAGGCTACACAGCGGTCGTCTCAGGGTTACACCTTCAGCCTTGGCTCTGGTTCAGTTTCTTGGCGTTCTACTCGCTCTTCTGTTGTTCTCAGCTCCAGTTGTGAGGCTGAGATCTACGCCACAGCCATGGCTGCACAGGAGTTACGCTGGCTCACCTACCTGCTGACCGACCTGGGAGAGCGGCCTCGTTCTCCTCCAGTGCTGTACGTTGACAACAAGGCCGCCATTGCCTTGTGTGAGGAGCACAGACTGGAGCACAGGACGAAGCACATCGCTCTGCGCTACTTCCTTGCTCGAGAGCTGCAGCAGCGTGGTCAGCTTCGTCTGCGTTACGTGGCCACTCGGGCCAACACTGCTGATGTGTTGACCAAGGCGCTTCAGCCTTGTGACCATCAGCGTTTCTGTACTGTTCTAGGCCTTGTGCCTACTCTCCCTCACTTGCTCACTTCTTGACTCTGCTTGTACTGTGATCTCTATATATATATACCTGCATGTTTACTCTTGTTAGGTTGTGATCACTGTACCTCTTGTTATATTATCAAACTGCATGTGAACTGGTCTTGTGACCACTTGCTTGTGCTCGGAATTTGTGTGGTTTCCTTGAGATCCACCCTGAGCTTGCTTTGCTTTGCTTTGACTGGTCTTGTGACCATCTGGTTGTCTCCCACTTAGCCTATGGGGGTGTGTCAAACATTATACATGTTCATATTGTGTAGGCTATAGTGGGTTTAGCCTTAGGGGGTACAACATTGCTAGGGTTTCCTACTTGTATCACCCTGCTGCCTAGTTTCACACATTCTCGTTCAGTTCTACATTCTAACAGGTGATCTTGAGATCCACCATGAGCTTTGCTTTGCTTTGTTCTCTTGCTTGACTTGTCTTGTGACCGTCCGCTATGTTTGCTATCCCCCACTTTGCCTATGGGGGTGTGTCAAATTGTATTTGTTCTCTCTAGGCTGTAGTGGGGCACATTCCTACGTTCCTATTCTGACATTAGGGAGTACAACCCATTTAGGTTTCCTTCTTGTACTCCCCTTCCTTCCTAATCCAATCATTCCTGTTTTCCTATCTTAACATGGTTTCACAGTAGGTCCCGTTCTAGGACCGATTTTTTAGGGCCCACCGATCAGTTCCATCCTGCCAAGCGTTCGTTTTTGCCCTGCCCTGCCCGACGTTTTTGCCCTGCCCAGCACGCTGTCGTGCTGCTGCCCTACCCTGCCCAGCACGCTATCGCGCTGCCCTGCCCAAGCGTGCTGTCGCGCTGTCCAGTGTGCTCGACCGCCCGCTGCCCTGCACGCTACTCGCGCTGCCCGCGCGCTGCCCGCACGCTGCCCGCGCTGCCCGCACGCCGCCCACCCGCACGCTGCTCGCGCCGCCCGTGCACTGCCCGCACGCCGCCCGTGCTGCCTGTCAGCAGTCAGCACGCCGCCCGCTGCCTGCTCGCGCTGCCCGCGAGCTGCGCGCACGCTGCCCGCGTGCTGTTCGTGCTGCCCGCACGCCGCCCGCACGCTGCTCGCGCTGCCCGCACGCCGCCCGCGCTGCCGGTCAGCTGTCACCGCATATGCACCTAATGCATATGAGATAACAGTAGGATGATGGTCTAGGCAGGGCTCTCGGTTGCAACCGTAGACAGAATAGATAATTATAATAGTATAAGATAGGAAGGAGCTGTAGGTATAGAATGTAGCGAAGCAACTGTTAGGGAGGGGTGTAGAAAAGGGGGGAAACGGGTTAAGAGCGGTTGGATCACGAGGGAAAAGACACCGAAGGGCGAAATGTGAAACCAAGCAATCCCAACCCCGAGCCGCACATGTGGAAATGTGCAGCCTGGGGTTGGGTAAGGTCACTCACATCCAACCCCTTGATGCTTTCTCGTTGTTATTCTCTCTTAGTAGTGAAAGTTGTCATCCTTGCTTCTAGCACACAGTGGCACACACCAGGAGGGGACCATTGGGGTGAGGGAGGGATCCCGTTCATAACAACGAAAAAGGCATAGAGCAGCGTAGAATGGACAAGTACGAACTGCACTGGGGCAGAGTCTTTAGTCGACGAGACGAAGAGGGGCCGTGAAAGAATCGCTCGCAGGAACGCGGTCGGTCGCTGGAGCGCCGATCACCAGGGAGGCCCGCTTTCCGTGCGGACCGGGTCCCCCTTGAGACGATCCGACGAGACGGAGGTTTTGGGCACGGCGGAATGAACGAGGACAGGCTCGCCGCGGCAGCGGGCGGCGCGCCGTGGCGGCGGGATACGTTCCACCTGAGCGGTGGGGCGTTCCGTTCCCCGGAGGAGGGGAGGCGACGGCATGATGAGCGAGGTCGCTGGCGGGGACGAGAGGAGCTTGCGCACGGACAAGGCGAAGGCTCTGGCAGGATCCACGCCGGTGAGAGTTTGCAGGCCGGAGCGACGCAGGAGAACGAAGCCGCGGATGAAGAGGAAGAGCACGAGCCCGTCCCCGAGCAGGCAGGGGAGAACCCGGACGTGCTGGAAGGAGCCGAAGAGGGAGGATCCGAGCCGACCCATGAGCCTGCCGACTCATATGAGGAGGCGGAGGAGGAAGAGGGGGGGGCTAGGCGGGAGTCACGGCGGGACGACCCCGACCGTCAGGAAGGATGTCGCGCAAGCGATGCACAGCAGCAGGAGCAGCTGAGCCAGGCAGACGACATGCGCGAACTGCAGGTGCGGGATCTCGCGGGGGAGAAGAGGCCGAGCGCTCACAGACGTCAGACGGGCAACGCCGCCGAACAGAGCAGCGCGGCGTACGGCAGGAGGGGGAAGGGCGCAGGACCGATTGGCAGACGACGCGCGGAGGAAGGCGGCGCGAGGAATCCCGCTCGCCAGAGCCGCAAGGACAGCAACGGGGAGAGTCGCGCTCTCCGCGCCAGCAGAGACGGTGGGACAAGCGGCCCAGCGAGGAGTCTCACTCGCCCGTTCGAGGCCACGGGCGTGAAGGAAGGCTGGGCGAAGCGAGGTTCTCACAGGACGGCCATCGGTGGCACGGAAGGGGCGGAGAGGGATGGTCGCCATCGCCGGCGAGGCGCCAAGCGTACGGGACGCGGGGAGAAGGAGGAGAGAGGAGCCGACGCTCGCCGGCAACGGTAGAAGTACTGGCCAGGTTCTCAGGCGATCAGCGGTCGGGGCCTTCACTCAAGAACTACCTGATGCAGATCGGTAACGTGAGGTATCGCTGTGACAGGAGTGGCACAGACCCTGTGGACTTCTTCCTGAGCCTGCCTAACACGCTGGAGGGGGAAGCAGAGACATTGTACCGCATGAGGATGGAGGAGTTGCTGTGGAGGGTAGGGAGATATGGAGAGGACCCCACTGAGGCCTTCCTAGAGCGACTGCAAAGGCAGTTTCCCGGGCACACGGCTGAAAAGATCAAGGAGTTCCAAGAGTTCAGGAAGGGGAGGGAGGAGTCACTGCTGACGTATTACAATCGACTGATCAACCTGGCGGAGTACGTGAGGTGCTCGGACGGCAGCCTTCTTATCAGCAAGTTCCTGGGGGGTTTGGACGAGGCCTTGGGGGGAGGGCTGAGGATGAGAGTGTATGAGTTGGGCGCGGAGGCAAGCCTGGAGGAGGTGTTTGACTTGACAGAAAGGGTGGAGCTCGCACAGAGGAGATATGAGGCCTATCTGCCCAGGCGAGCAGAGAGAAGCCGTCGGCCAACGTGGGCAGCGGCAATGATACTGGAAGGAGGGGGGGAGAGTAGAGGCGCGGGGGGAGGCAGGAATTGACACCAGAACCTGTCACAGGTGTGGGCAGCCGGGGCATCTGCGCAGAGACTGCAAGAACTGTGACGGCTATGGGAAGCCAGGGCACAGGAAGCGGGAATGCCCAAATGCAGCCAGGTGTGAGATATGCAAGAGATGAGGACATGAGGCGAAGGACTGCTATCAGAGGGAGGGAGGGCCCATGAGGGATCCAGAGGAGTTGCAGCGGCAAATCAGCAGGCTGCAGGCAAAGCTGAGGGCAACTGGGCTGAGAGGGGGAGCCGAGGCAGGGATGTATGCCAGAGACGAGGAGGGGGAGGAGGTGGAGCAAGATGTGCAATGTGCACTCATGGCATGGCGAGGAAGGGAAGAGATGGGGCTGAGGAGCGGAGGGAAGGATGGCAGGCGTGAGCAGGGAAGGAAGGAACAAGCAAAGGGAGAGAAGCCAGCCGAGCCAGCCCTGGAGCGAGCCCCAGCCCGCCATCCCCAAGAGAGGCTGGCGTGCCAGACCTCAGTGCTGATGCTGGAAAGGGGAGCAATGGAAGTAGAGGGAGAGAAGGTGAAGACTGCAATCATAGACACAGGGGCACAGAGTGTGATGCTGGGTAAGGGGATGGCAGAGAGGCTGGGGTTGCTGGCGCCAGAGAGGCACGTGGGCAAGAGGATGCTGGTAATGACGGCGGAAGGAGGGGAACCGAAGTGGATGCCATGCACCCGAACACCCATAGAAGTGACGCTGCTGCCGGGGTGGGAACATGAGACCAAGATCCGCATGAAGTGTGGGATTTCAGAGTCGGAGGACTTTGATGTTTTGGTGGGCACCGAGCTGGTGTTCGCGGTGGGGATGACTATATGTACTTGGACGGGGAGGGTTGAGTTCAGGACGCGGTACTGGAAGAAGGAGGGGCCCTTGGGAGAGCTGCCAGTGTGGTTTGTGAAGGTAGAGCCCAAGGAGCATACCAGGCCGTGGGGGAGCTGCAGCCTGGGGAGCGGCAGGCCGAGGAGCAGGGAGGGACGGGAGGATTGAAAGTGGGACCCAGAATGAAGTGGATGGACGAGCCAGGTGGCGGAGTGACTGGCAGCAGCCCATACACCTGGTGGAGCTGTTTGGAGGGATAGGGGCAGGCCTGGCCCCGGTGGTGAGGAGTGGAATAGCCGTGAGGAAGTGGACGTATGTGGAGGAGGAGCCAGGGGTGAGTAGGATGGCGGAGCATCACGCATGGAAGCTGCAAGCGGAATTCCCGGAACTACTGAGTGGGGGGGTGATTCGAGAAGCCATAGGTGGAGCCACCCATGATGTGCAGGAGATAGGCGAGACAGAGGTGGCGAGCTGGGGGCAGGTGGATCTGCTGGTGGCGGGATGGGAATGCCAAGGTGTGTCTTGGGCAGGCAAAGGGAAGGGAGGAGAAGACCCAGGCAAAGGGAAGGGAGGAGAAGACCCCAGGACAAGCTTGATGGGGGACTTGTTCCGCATCCTGGAGTGGCTGCAGGAGAGGCAGGGCAGGGTGGCGTACCTGCTGGAGAACCTGGACCTGGAAGGTGACAGCAGAGAGCCGATCCGACTGGTGAGGGAAAGAATCAAGGGGCAGCTGGGGGAAGGGGTGAGCTGTGATGCGGCCAGAATGGGGTACTACGCGCACCGGCTCAGAATGTACTGGCAGAACGTGGTCCCGGCCGTGAAGCTGCAAGCCGAGATGGACGGGGTGGGCTCCTCCCACCTCCGTCTCCTGTGATCATACACCATTCCCGGCCCGGGCTTCCTTGCTTCCCACTTGTACCCAGCCACTCCCACATACGCCACCAGAGTGGGCAGGGCTCGCCTCTCCTGCCCTACGTGGTTGCACGGATAATGCCTGCAGTAGCTCTTACGGGAGCTGGCTATGGGGTATGGAGAAGATGCAACGGCAGCACCTGGGGCGAGTGAGGCGGACAGGAGGAGGGCTTTGGGGAATGCAATGGATGGCCACGTGCTGAGGTGGCTGATCCAGCGGATGTGGCGAGAGACGGTCGTGAGCTGGGGGCATGAGGAAGGGAAGGGAGAAATGGAGGTGGTGCCTCGGGGAGCATGGAGCTGCCAGAAGAAGGAAGAGGAGAGATGGGTGGTGGGGGAAGCAATGAGCAGAGAGGGGAAGGAGGCCATGCAGGAGCTGCTGGCCAGGCACAGGAAGTGCTTTGCCTTCACCATGGAGGAACTGGGGAGGTGCAAGGTGAAGGAGATGGAGCTGAAGCTGAGCAGCACAGAACCAGTGTTTCACCGCAGGAGGAAGATGCCACATGGGGATGAGGAAATCTGTAAGGAGAAGATCAAGGAGCTGCTGGAAGCGGGATTGATCAGGAGGTCAGAATCTGAGTACGCCACACCAACGGTGGTGGCAGCCAGGCGGGACCTGACAGGGGAGGTGCTGAGCAGGAGGATGTGTGGGGACTACAGGGCACTCAACAAGATCACCATGGCAGACAGGTACCCGATGCCAATGGCGGAAGAGATCTTTGACAAGCTAGTAGAGGGGGTGTTCTTCACCATGTTGGACATGCGGCAAGGGTTCAATCAGATCAAGATCCGAGAGGAGGACATCAAGAAGACGGCCTTTCATGGGCCGGACGGGCTGTATGAATGGCTGTACATGCCATTTGGATTAAGGAACGCCTCAGCCGTGTTCCAGAGGGTCATGGACAACGTGCTGCGGGGAGTGGAGTGTGCGGCCTGCTACATTGATGATGTGGTGATATTCAGCACGACCGAGCAGCAGCAACTGCAGGATGTGGAGAGGACCCTGGCAGCGATAGAAGCGGCAGGACTCACTTGCCACCCGAAGAAGTGCAGATGGGGGGAACAGACAGTGCAATATCTGGGGTACGAGGTGAAAGGGGGCCAGATAGGGATACAACAGGCCAAGGTGGAAGTCCTGGATAGGCTGAGGGAGCCTAAGGACAAGTCAGGACTGAGAGCAGTGCTGGGCTTCCTGAGCTACTACAGGCGGTTTGTGCCTAACTTCAGCAAGAGAGCGGCGGTGCTGAACGGGCTGCTGCGGGAAGACAAGGCGTGGGAGTGGGGGGAAGCACAAAAGGGAGCATTGCAGGACTTAATGACAGCAGTGAAGAGCGCAACAGTGCTCAAGCTGCCCGCCGCCAATCACCCGTTCACGCTCTACACCGACTGGAGCAGCCAAGGGATGGGAGGGATACTCTGCCAGGAGGTGGAGGGAGAGGAGAAGGTGGTGGCATACGCGAGCAAGAGCTGCAACTCGGCGGAGGCACAGTACAGCTCTTACATAGGGGAAGGTTTGGCAGCCGTGTGGGCTGTAGGGCATTTCAGGGTGTACCTACAGGGGAGGGAATTCACCTTGGTGACGGATCACCAGCCCCTGACTTGGCTGATGACTACACCGGGGTTGACGGGCAGGAATGCACGGTGGGCAATGAAGTTGCAAGGGGGAGAAGGGGCCAGCAGATATTTGGGAGGATGGACCAGCTATGCGGTGGGTGAAGGGAGAGACAGGAGAGGACGAGGAGCTGACGGCACGCGTAAGGGCAAGGGGGCAGCACTACAGATGGTACCAGCAGCAGTTACAGGTGCAGACGGATGATGGGTGGAAGCTGGTGCCGGCGCCAAGTGAGAGGGAAGCGGTGATCAAAGAGGTGCATACAAAACTGGGACACTTTGGGCACGAGAGGACGGTGCAGCTGTTGAAGACAGGGTGGTGGTGGGAAGGGATGCGGAAGCAAGTAAAGGGGTGGGTGGAGGGCTGTGAGGCATGCCAAAGGAGCAGGGCAAACCTCACCCAAGCCAAGGCTGAGTTGCAGTCCCTGCCCATCCGAGGCCTAGGTTTCAGATGGTCCTTGGATCTGGCGGGGGAGCTGCCGCTGAGCCGAGGGGGCAAGCAGTACATCGTGCTCATGGTAGAACACGTGAGCAAGTTGTTAGAGGTGAGAGCCATCCCGAGCAAGAGCTCAAGGCATGTGGCGGCAGCGTTCAAGGAGCAGGTGATATGCAGATTCGGGGCATGTGCGGAGGTCCTCACAGACCAGGGAACCGATTTCTAGGGGGAGTTCAAGAAGCTGCTGGAGGAGATAGGGATCACCCACAGGCGCACTTCGAGGTACCACCCACAGAGTGATGGGCTGACAGAGCGCCTGGTGCAGACCTTGAAGCGGGGACTGCGAGCGTATGGGGAGAAGAGGAAGCGGGACTGGGATGAGGAGCTGCATTGGATTGCAGCAGGGTACAGGTTTGGGAAACAGGCGGCCTTGAAAGATCACTCTCCATATAGTCTCCTATATGGGTGTGAGCCACTGCTGTCGGTGGGAGCAACCCGGGTGCTCACAGACACGGTGACGGCAGGAACTATAGAGAACTGGGTGGCACTGTCAGAAGCCAGGGCAAGA